AAATGGCAAAATCTGTTTCAAGGTTTTCCTGTTTTCAAATAAAAAACATCTTGTTATGTTGCGCCGTTTTTTGTTTTGTTTTGTTTTGTTTTTTGGTATGTTTATTTTTCGTTCTCGACGTATAATTGAATCGGCATTTCTTGTTTGCTTTATCCTTTTCGTTATGTTGGGGATCTGGAAGATAGTTTACGTGGGAGGGATGTCTTGAATGTTTTCCTCGCCAGCATTAAGGGAGGCTTTCCGTCCCTTGGCCGCGAGGAGGTGGAGCTTGTTACTCTTGTCCGTCAGAGTACATGTAAACTTTAAAATGGGAAAATGAAAATCTGTGTGAATGTGTGTGTGTGTATTTGTGTGTGTGTGTGTGTGTGTGTGTGCGAGAGAGAGAGAGAGAGAGAGAGAGAGAGAGAGAGAGAGAGAGAGAGAGAGAGAGAGAGAGAGAGAGAGAGAGAGAGAGAGAGTGAGTGCGTGTGTGTGGGGGGGGGGGGGGGTTTTATTTACAGTATCGCTAATTCCGTGTATCGACTAGGTGCATCTTTCTGTCCACAATTTTCATTCATCGAATCTACTCATCAGTTCTATAAATTCATCAATCAGTTCCATCAGTAAGTCCTAGAAATCATCACATAAAGGCATCCTTTCCATCTATTCATTCCATTGCCCTATCTAAGTCCGTCCCATCTCCTGCTTCCACGTATTTTCCGTTATCCCCCCCCCCCCCCCTTTCAGAACTAATGCCTCAGAACTATCTATCATTTTCTGTTCCCGCCTTAATTCACGTTCTCATTTCCAGTCCATCAATCCTCTCAAATTCCTTCAGTCGATTTTGTCGGCGCCTCAGCTGCCATCTCTCGGTTCCAGTTAGAAGTCAGCAGCGCCTCGGAGCCCCTTTCCGCTTCCTTCAGCCCGGCCATTATCCTCAGCTTCAATTCCAAACCGCTTTCCATCAAAAATCTATCGAACTTAGAGCAGCGATTCCAGTCCATGCTGCTGCCGTCAACCTTGATTCCGCGTCTCACGTTTAGTCTATCCATGCATCATTTACCTCTGCCCCCCCCCCCCCCCCTCAATCCCTGCAACTCCACCTCTCAATTGCAGCCCATCACCTCTCAGCATCAAACAGAATTCCATCAAAGAACCTATCAAAATCAGATCATCAATTCCACTCCATTAATCCATCAGCAGCAGCCTCAATCTCGATCAGAATTCCATCAAAGAATCCATCAGCGTTTAGCCCTCGTCCACCGCCCGCTGACCCCCCCCCCCTCCCCCCGCAGTGGACGTGTGGGACGGCCAGGACGAGCCGGTCGTCTACCACGGCAACACCCTCACCAGCAAGGTGCCCTTCCGGGACGTGGTCGACGCCATCGCCAGCTACTCCTTCGACTTCTCCGTGTGAGTTCTTGTGCTTTTCTCCCTCTCTGCTTTAGTGGTGTAGTTTTTCCCGTTCTCTGAGTATAATTGAAGCGATATTTATTTATTTCAGATTTTTCCTATTTACTTTTTTTCAATATTCCCTGTTTTAGTGGTGTATATTTTGTGTGTTTCATTCTGTTACTTTGTTGTGTCTTTGTGCTTTACTGTTGTATTTTATATGCGTCTTGCTTACTTGTTTTCTCACCTTATAGTATCCCCACAATTTATTTTTTTACTTCGGTTTGATTCCACTTACCACGTAGAAGAGGTATGAACGAGAATGGTATTTCCTGAATGAGAGACATGCAACCGCCGTTTCTGAAGATGTGGTATCGAGACGTCAGTAACATATTGGGCCTTGCGTATGTATTGGCATTCATACCGCCTCTGCATTTGTCAGTGCGTGAGTTCGATTCCTTGTCAGGAAGGATAGTTATGCACAACGAACTCTGCTAGATGATGCCGAGATGATGCCAGCCTCAAGCCGCCCTACTCTGGACACCATTCTACATATCCTCTGGGTCAATGTCGGACATATAACAATCCCCCCCCCCCAGCCAGACGCATGCCAACGATGCACATACACACACACACACACACACACACACACACACACACACACACACACACACACACACACACACACACACACACATACACACACACACACACACACACACACACACACGCGCGCGCGCGCGCGCGCGCGCGCACTCATACATAGATCCCTGATTTCCCATAAAATGCACTTTCATTATCAATGATTATCAATTTATCGCTTTAAATATAGCGTTGTAATACAATTAAGCAACAAATCTACCAAAAATAAAAATCGGTTATTGTAGCACTCGGTTTTGTAGATTTTTTTTTTTAATTAAGATTTTTACTGTTGTCCGCCATAGTACAAATTGCGAACCCTATTCTCTACACCACTTTTCTACAGTTAACTGCACTCCTTTTGATATGTACCCAACTCATACCAACCTCGAACCATATTTTATAGACCATTTTAGAATTACCACCTTCCTTAAGCTAATACCAACCCCGAATCGTGTTCTATAGACCACTTTATAAACCACTTACCTCCTCCCTCTAAATCCTCCCAACCTCGAACTATATTTCATGGGTTTTACATACCCTCCCCCCTTCCCCAGCTTCTAGCAGCCTGGAACCGCATTCTATAGAGCACTTACCACCGCCCTCCAGGTACCCGGTCATCGTCCACCTGGAGAACCACTGCAGCATCAAGCAGCAGCAGATCATGGCGTCGCTCCTGAAGACGCTGCTGGGCTCCTACCTGTACATCCACCCGCGGGACTCGCCGAAGGCCGTCACGGACCTCAGCCCCGAGGAACTCAAGTACAAGGTCATACTTAAGGTAAGGTGCTTCTCGAACATGTCTGTCTGTTCTATCTCGCTGGTCTTTCTCTATATTCTTTCTATCTATATTCTGTCTATTCACATTTATCTCTGTATTCAAATGAAACACAACTACTATGAAGACGAAATGAATTCGTGACGTTTCGAACCCATCAAGAGTTCGTTATCAGTCTACGTTCTCAGGAGGAACTTTTGATAAATGTGTGCACGTTACCACATCTGTATTTTTACATTTATATCTATAGCTATCTGTTCATCCATCTATTTATCTGTCTATCTAGCTATCTATCTATGTGTGTGTGTGCCGTGTGTAAGAAGCGTGGAAGCTCCCCGACTGAATCGTCTCAAACCCCAGCTTGCGCAGCATCCTCGACTTCCTTCAATGGACTGGAACTGTGTATAGCCACAGAATCCTCCCGGGCACATAACCCCGCAAGATTTAATGATCAATACGAGTGATTCATAAGGTGATTCATTCAGTTCATCATTTAGTATTCCATTCACGGACCTATTCAGAGCAGATTAATTCAAAGCCAGGTCTATTTATTAATAGACTTCCTCCTTCTCTTGTACCCAGTGAACTGTAAATGATCCACATGAATATGTTAATGAACACAAATTTGCCGAAACTCGCTGATATACTTGCATTAACAGACCGTTTGCAGAATATGTTTAATTTTGGTTTTTGGTGAATTGTGTTGCATTAGGTATACAGGGAGAAAGAGAGAGAGGGGGGAGGGAGGGAGAGGTGGGAGAGTGAGAGAGAGTGGGGAGTGAGAGAGAGAGAGGTGGGAGAGAGAGGGAGAGAGAGAGAGGGAGAGGGAGAGAGAGAGAGAGAGAGAGAGGCGTGAGAGAGAGAGAGAGAGAGGCGTGAGAGAGAGAGAGAGAGAGAGAGAGAGAGAGAGAGAGAGAGAGAGAGAGAGAGAGAGAGAGAGAGAGAGAGAGAGAGAGAGAGAGAGAAAGAAAGAGAAAGAGAGAGAGGCGTGAGAGAGAGAGAGAGAGAGAGAGAGAGAGAGGCGTGGGAGAGAGAGAGAGAGAGAGAGAGAGAGAGAGAGAGAGAGAGGGGGGGGGGAGAGGGAGAGAGAGAGGTGGGGAGAGGGAGAGAGAGAGAGAGAAAGAGAGAGAGGCGTGGGAGAGAGAGAGAGAGATGGGGGAGAGGGAGAGAGAGAGAGAGGTGGGGGAGAGGGAGAGAGAGAGAGAGAGAGGCGTGGGAGAGAGAGAGAAAAAGAGAGAGAGAGAGAGAGAGAGAGTGAGAGGTGGAAAATATATATGTTTATATGTATATATATATATATATATATATATATATATATATATATATATATATATATATATATATATGTATATATATATATATATATATATATATATATATATATATATATATATATATATATATATATATATGTATATATGTATATATGTATATATATATATATATATATATATATATATATATATATATATATATAGAGAGAGAGAGAGAGAGAGAGAGAGAGAGAGAGAGAGAGAGAGAGAGAGAGAGAGGGAGGGAGAGCGAGAGAGAGAGAGAGAGAGAGAGAGATTGGCTTAACAGACGGTAACAAGCGAGAAATAATTAATCGTTCGTTGCTGTTATTCCATCTTCTTCGCCTTCAGCGTCCCACAGAAAAGATCCTCCTCCTGTTAAACGAACAGGGAAACACGAAAAGAGAAGTAAAGAAAAATAAGCAACAGCGAGTCGGAGGACACTAATTGAGGAACAGCAATATTTAAAGAAAGATCGAGGAACGATTAGCGAAAAAGGGAAAAGAAAATAGATAAGACAGAAGAAGTAAAACGAACGGCCATTAGAAGTAAGAAGAAGAGGAAAAGGAAAGAAAAATACTAATGATATGAAAATGGTATAATGATCATGTGGATAACAGGAAATGGGAGAATAATGATAAAAGAAGAGACAGCAAAATAACCGAAAAAAGAGAAGGGGAACAGATAGCGAATTAGAGGAAGAAAATTAAGGAGGATAAGATAATCATAAAGAAACAATTAAAATATATATCGAAGAAAAAAAAAACGAAAGAGAGAAAACGAAGGAAACAGAAATAAAGAATGCATAACACCACCCACGTAACGAGAGAACGATAAAGAAATAAAGCGTAATTATCGAAAACATAAAATCAGAGGGAAGACGAATGCGGAGAAAGGCGAAAGCGAAGGAAACAGAGGAAGAAGAGAGAGACACAATGGCCCGCGTATGTCTCATCCATATTGATCTTGGAAAGCCGAGCGAGCACAAAGAAACGCTCCCCCCCCCCCTCCCCTTACGCCCTCCCCCTCCTCCCTCCCTCCCCCTCCCTTTCTCTCCCTTCTCCCTTCTCCCTTTTATCTGATTTCTCCCCACCTCCCTTTTTTTCATTATCTCCCCCTCTTCCTTTTCTCTCCCTCTCGCATGTCTCTCCCTCGCCTCCCTTCTCCTTCCTTTTCTTCCTTTTCTCCTTCCCTCCCTCGCCTCCCTTCTCTTTCTTCCCTTTCTCCTTCCCTCCCTCCTCCTTCCTCCTTTTCTCCCTTTTCTCTTTCCCTCCCTCACCTCCCTCCTCCTTCCTCCTTTTCTCCTTCCCTCCCTCCTCCCTTTCGTCCTTTTCTCCCTTTTCTCCATTTTTTTCTTCTCCTTCTTTCCATTCTTCTTTTTTTTTTCTTTTGTTCACTTTATTCTTCTTCTCTTTTTCCATTTTTTTCTTTCTTTTTTTCAACTTTTTTCTTCACATTTTTTTCTTTTCTTTTCTTTTCAACTTTTTTTTTTCATTTAACCACTTTTTTTCTTCTTCTTTTCTTTGTTCACCTTTTTTTCTTCTGTTCTCCCCTTTTTCTTCTTTTTTCTTTTGTTCACCTTTATTTCTTCTCTTCTCTTTTTCTTTGGTTCACCTTTTTTTTCTTCTCTTCTCCTCATTTTCTCATACTCGTTAATGAAACTAATGTGAAAGAGAGAGCGAAAGTTAGGGGGCTGGGGGGGGAGGGGTATTAATTGATACTTTATGCTCCCAACGGCTTTGGTTCTATGCTTGTAAAATTATTACATTTTTTACTCTCTTTCTCTCTCTCTCTCTCTCTCTCTCTCTCTCTCTCTCTCTCTCTCTCTCTCTCTCTCTCTCTCTCTCTCTCTCTCTCTCTCTCTCGCTCTCTCTCTCTCTCCAGGTAAGTATGACTATAACACGGTGCTATATATTTTTATTTTCTTTTTCACATGGAGTAAGCCTAACAGAACAATAAATCACCATAGCAACAGCGCCGGACCTGATAAGGGAAGAAATCCAAAAACGTTTATACATTTCGTTTTCAGCCGATTAAGATTTTGCCAAGAATCTCATAAACATGTCGAGATGACTATCGTATCGGTTCTTATCTCTTTCATCCGACCTTATGCAAATGAGACTCGGTGTGCGCACCGTGACAACCGGCTCGATCATGGGAGTTGTATTGTTGCAGAGTGATGGAATTTTAAATGAGATGGAGAATGGGAAGAAATAGGGAAGTATTAGGAGAAAATGAAACAAATGAAGAAATTGCATTCCTATGTGTGTTTGTGCATGTCCTTATGAGATCTGTTAACCCAGTCTAAGCCATCTCAAACAAAATGTCTTTTATCTAAGCAGGTAACTAGATGTAAATGCCGAAACACATACACCTACACGTTCGCATTTTAAACAGTCTAACACCAGACATAAACCATAAACCAGGATAAATGAAATAGATGGAAATAAATTAAACAAAGCATAAGATGACACTTAGATCATTTCCCTTTATAAATCAGCTTTTTTTATAAGATATTTCCTTTTATAGATGAAACAAACCACAGTTATGACAAGCAGACGCCAACGTGCGCCACTTCTCGAGAACTTGGCGGAGATCAAGTCCCGAGCCATTCTGCCCCTCTGCTGGTCCGGCTCGCCGCGCAGGCTCGGGAGGGGAAACTCTAAGGGGAAAGAAGTTATAACACGAGAGAGCGATGAAGTTCAGGGAAACTTAAAGTGCAGGGGATATATATACCTGTAGATTTCATGCAAAAGGAAGAAAATCAAAATGTTCAGGGATGCCTGATCTTCCCCGAAGGCGGCGCAGCCCCGTCTTCTTCATATAATAATCCCCTCCGGCAGCTCTCTCAAAAATAGGGACCGAAGGAAGTTTTGCGAAAAGAGAAACCAGACAATATGGCAGCGAAGACGAACGCATGGAGGCCAAACACGAGAATCTTCTTTGCTTTATTGAGCGAATATTAAACCCAATCCCCGAGAGGGAACCTTGGATGCTATTTCCAGTACTGGCACAAGAAAGGGAATAACTGCAGAAGGAAAATAAGCATACAGTGCTGCCTTTGAGTCCAGCAGGAGTCACGGAATCCCCCTAAGCGATCCGGCGAAGTTAAATGCCAACAGTTATCTAGATCAATGGATTTTGATAAAATTCTAAAATACATTTGATAAATGAAGCCCTGGATGTGCATCCCAGTCTTGAAGATGTTTCTAAAGCATATGGAAACAAACAGAAACTGAAGCCAGGAAAACATGTCCAAGACCCGCTGAAGCACCGGCGAGTTCCGTAGCCAGCTACAGTGTCAGGTTTATGAAGTGCACAATCCCTGAACGCGTTGCGCCCTGGCCGGATGGCGCCCTGCCTGAGGATGCGCGAAGCAGCCTCGGCGAGGGCGCTCAGCCGAGAACTTACCTGAGCAAG